ATACATTTTGAATTCCTCCTAATTTTATGTTCTTATTAGATTGGGGCGGTAAACGTGAGCATTGTCTCACCTACCTCAAACAAATGTCAAGTTTGATTGTCGTCGTCATCGTCATGCTAGTTGTTGATCTATTTTATTATATATATGTAGACCGGACGCTTCATTGCGTATCCAAGAAGCAGCAGTGCCACACTTTAGTGTTTATGTTTTAAATTTTTTTGGGGAATTTAATTGAAAGCGAAAATAAAAAAACAGACGATGAAGAAGGGACCTCAGTGTGGAAAAGAAGCGGAAATGAGGCCTAGTATAGGGGCCTTAAATACATAAAATTTTCATTGGCATCAAAAAAATGATATATCATACATTTCAGAATCGAAAAGAATCTATTACTTTTACGTTTTATTGTTGTCACAAACCCAGATCTAATAATAAGGTCACCCAGTAAGCGAAATTCAGCTGTTTTTTCTCAAGTCTAAGGTCAAAATCTTGAACTTTGTTAACGTTTTCGTAATGCTGGCCACCTGGATGACCTTTTTGGCGATTTTTTAACATTTTTTTTTTTTGAAGAATTTTCTTTAGAAGAATTAAAGGCCCATTCGCTGCCCTGGCCCTCCAATTTCTGTAGCCCCTTTTAATGATGCCCAACTAATTACATGAAAACAAAATTCCAAAGTCTGCGGAAGCTTTACCTCTTTTTTTTAAATTCTTTAATGAAAACAAGAACCCATTCGCTATGCTACATCGATAGTAAAGTTCTCGAAATATTCGAAACGTTTTTCGAAATTTAGAAACTTTTTTTTGTTGAAGATTTTTCCTTAGAGAAATTAATAATAAATAGGCCCTTTCCCTGCCCTGGCCCTTCAAATTCAGTAGCCTTTTTTAATGGCGCCCAACTAATTACATGAAAACAAAATTCCAAAGTCTGGACAAATTTTATCTTTTTTTTAAAATTCTGTAATGAAAAAGAGAACCCATTCGTTATGGGACATTGGTAGTAAAGTTCTCGAAATATTCGAAACGTTTTTCGAAATTTACTACGTTCTGCTTTTTTTTGTAAATAAAATTTGAAACGCTCTATTTTTTTTCTAATCTATTTTTAAAATATGTTTTTTTTTTTGTATTTTGATTATTAACCAACTCCGAACCTGCAGAGGTAAACAATGCCCATATTTGTTTTTTTTCTTGTAATTTATTTACATGGCAGAGTACGTGTGTGAGTGGGGCAGAATTTGTTATGCCACTCCACTGTAACAAGGTGTTTGTTTTTGTTGTTGAAGAGATGTTGTTGTATTCGGAACTTATATTGTTATTTTTGTTTTTAATTTTACATCGAAGGTCAACCGGTTTTTTGTGCGTGTGTTCTTGTTTTCATCATTCTGGGATCTTCTAAAAGAACCCTTTCTCGTCATTTAATGGCTACAAAAGCCAACAAAGAATTGTAAACAAGTAAATGAGTTTGTTTTGATTTTTTTGTTTACTTCACTTTATTTAATGGTCATTTATTTTGAAGGTCATGGTGATGCTGAAAAATAATAACATCTTCAACAATAATTATGTTCGTCTAAGGTAAATGTTTTCACAACTTTTTTCAATATTTGATTTCACATGTTTCCAAAACGCAAATAATGGAGGTTTCCGATGTCTTTGGACAAATAAGAAATTGAACCTATTTATATTATCACCTAGAAAGAGTTTAATTCTGAGAAATATCCAAATTTATGGAAAATATAATATGTGGTATTTTCCCGTACTGCAAGAATCTACTAGTTTTTACTATTTTGTTCGATATCATAAAGGAAAAAAGTTTTATCATAGTAAAAAGTAGTAGATTTATGCACCAAGGGAACAGACCATTTGTAATAATATATTTTTAAATTTTTAACCTTTATTTTTTTAGCACTACCCGACTTAACGGTCGCTTTTTATAGAAGTTATCAATTCCAAGTGAATACTTTACTATCTCATCGTATGAACGAAATTCTCTCCTTTGGTAGTTTCCTTATTGTTTTTAACAGTGTCCTACTACCAACAGCTGTTATTGTTTATGTTTTTAAAAATATTCAGCAAACTTTTTATTTTCTAGCCCTATCAACTTTAATGGTCGAATTTTTCTATTCGGCTATCAATTCAAAGTGAATACTTTAATGTCTTCTCATAAGAAAAATATTCTCGCTTTTGTATTTTCTTTGTCGTTTCTCACAGTGTATTACTACCAACAGCTGTTACTATTTCTTCCTTAACGATGGATATTAATTCAAAGTGAGTGTTCATATTATCGAAACAACAGGGTGATACAAAACTCGCAAACAGCTGTGCTGACAATAAATATTAAAAAAATAATATTTAATAAAATATGGATAAAAAATAACTACAAAATTCACAAATATTGTTCTATAATTTAATCCAGGTCTCCATTAACTAATTCAACAATAATATATCAGTTACAGCAGTTGTGAATTTGCATATTGTGCTCCACCCAGTCAGTTGTTCTGATTTCTAATTGGTGGCCAGGATATAAAACTGCATCTGATTTTTTAAGAATATTTTCGGAAGAATTAACAGGTCTACCAGCGTGAATATTTCCTGAGAGAAGTAGTCGATTTTCTAAGAGAAGTAGAAGGTCCACATGCGAGGATTTTTAAAGTAATTTTTTTAAGAGAAGTGCAACACCACTGAACATTCTTCGGGAATCCCATAAGGTATATATTTTCTGTACTAGGCTTTGTCGTTTGTTGCCCAGCGACAGACGCATATAAGCTAGATGGGTCAGTCAGACGCGAAGTCGTCGTCTTCTTGGGTGAAGGTTGCGGACCTTCTGATGAGCGAATGCGCTTCACAGATTTGCTCTGCGGGGCGGCATTTGCTCTCCCAGGAGACGACGATTCCTTGCCGGACTTGCCCTTTTTCCTATTTCGACCACTGGTGGATTCACTCTAAGCTTTAGCAACAACCGCATCACCTTTGTCGCTTTCTATTCGGCTATCAATTCAAAGTGAATACTTTAATGTCTTCTCATAAGAAAAATATTCTCGCTTTTGTATTTTCTTTGTCGTTTCTCACAGTGTATTACTACCAACAGCTGTTACTATTTCTTCCTTAACGATGGATATCAATTCAAAGTGAGTGTTCATATTATCGAAACAACAGGGTGATACAAAACTCGCAAACAGCTGTGCTGACAATAAATATTAAAAAAATAATTATTTAATAAAATATGGATAAAAAATAACTACAAAATTCACAAATATTGTTCTATAATTTAATCCAGGTCTCCATTAACTAATTCAACAATAATATATCAGTTACAGCAGTTGTGAATTTGCATATTGTGCCCCACCCAGTCAGTTGTTCTGATTTCTAATTGGTGGCCAGGATATAAAACTGCATCTGATTTTTTAAGAATATTTTCGGAAGAATTAACAGGTCTACCAGCGTGAATATTTCCTGAGAGAAGTAGTCGATTTTCTAAGAGAAGTAGAAGGTCCACATGCGAGGATTTTTAAAGTAATTTTTTTAAGAGAAGTGCAACACCACTGAATATTCTTCGGGAATCCCATAAGGTATATATTTTCTGTACTAGGCTTTGTCGTTTGTTGCCCAGCGACAGACGCATATAAGCTAGATGGGTCAGTCAGACGCGAAGTCGTCGTCTTCTTGGGTGAAGGTTGCGGACCTTCTGATGAGCGAATGCGCTTCACAGATTTGCTCTGCGGGGCGGCATTTGCTCTCCCAGGAGACGACGATTCCTTGCCGGACTTGCCCTTTTTCCTATTTCGACCACTGGTGGATTCACTCTAAGCTTTAGCAACAACCGCATCACCTTTGTCGCTAGGCATGGAATCGGGCTTTGAGATAAAGCCCTCCACACGTTGACCACCCTTATGGACAACAGTTTGTGTCGGGATGTTCTCAGTAGCATTTTCTTTGACTTTTGAATCGAGCTAAGCTTCGGATCAGAAGTCGGCTTCGCATCCATGTCAGAGACAGTGGGCTTCGCCGAATCCACTACTTCACTCGATTCAGAGGTTTTCTTGGAGATTTTTGATCGAGCAGTTAGATTCGGGACGGAGATCCTCTCCATTTGGAGCGCACAATGGAGAACGTGCGGATAAGTTCTTTCGAACTTCCTTACAAATCTCATTTTGCCCTTGATGAGGTGAACCTCTCTCTCCGAAAGCAACCCCAATGTAGGTAATTCAAATTATATATCTTCATCTTTCAACAAATTTGTCTTAAGTTTGGCATACCAGATTGCTGAATGAACAATTTCGTCCCCTTCTTCTACTTCAGTACTCTTTCTTTAACAGTTTTGCCATCCCTGTCTCATTTCGACTATCGTTGTGCGATATATCGATAGTTGGCTGTCATTGTGCGTCATTTGTTGTTTAAAATGCAGTTCATTTAAATGAACGTTTGTGGTTCAAACATTTTAAAGTGAATTTATTAATTTTTTAGATCTTGAAAAAATTAAAATTTTATTAAAAAATCATTTAAATTAATTTATTACGTTCATTTTTTATTAATATTACGACAATCTCTCTTCTTTATATAATAGCCGTTGTATTTGAATTTTGCACAGCTGTCTTTCTTTGCATTGAACCAATGATTGGTTCACTGCAATGAACTGCAAGGGAACTAGTGTTGTTTTTGTTTTACTACCTAAATTCAACAATTCATCAATCAATTGCGAAAATCCAAAGTGAAGAAGAGTTAATATTTATATAAACATTATCCATAGGGCAAGAGGAAGGGGTAACGCAAAGGGGGCTAACCCCACAAACAGGTTTTATTCAATTAACCATAAATAAACAAATTATTTACAAGTCACAAGAGTAAAAACACTATTGTTGTTGTTGCTGCCATTTGGCACAGCCGATTGAAGCAAACAAATCGTCAGTCAGTCTTTCGTTAAACTTCCAACCAACAAGTAGTCGAAGTGTGTCTGTCTGTGATTGAAATTTCTCGAAAAAAATTAATAGAAAAAAACGAACAAATCAAAAATGTTAACACCACGTATAAGTGGTAACGCCGTCGTCTTGGTGTTAAGTGCATTGTTGGTGCTTTCACCCCTAAGCGAGGCTAAACGGGCATTGGGTGGCGGTAATCGTAAGTCGGGTGGAGGTCACACCACCCGAAGACAACCGGATACACATGTCACCAAGCCAACATATTCCATTAGCAGTGGTAACTCGCATGCGGACCAGGCCAAATTGAGCTATCCCAACTATAATGCCCAACCCAATCGACCAGCCAGTGCACCATCCTCGTCAAATTCTCAACCAATTGGTTGGAATGTACCAAATAATCAACATCCTGCAGGTCCACCACCAGCCTATTCACCCAGCAATGTGGCGGGTGGAGCCAAGACCAATGTGCATGAACCACCACCAGTGTATCAGAAGCCCAATTATGCCGCACCACCACCAAATTACAATCAGGCCACGGGAACACATTATGGTTCGGCCTCGTATCCACAACAACAACTTCCAGCTGGTGCAACCTATCACAGTCCCAATAATCTACCACCAGGCGCTACATACTACAACAATCCATCACATGTACCCGGAGGTTATCCCATGGCTGGTGGTTATCCAATGGGTGGTGGTTATCATGCTCCTGGCGGCGGTGGTGGTTATTATCCACCAAATTCGGTTCCAGCTGGTGCCAGTTATTTCCCGGCTGGTGGTCAATTGCCACCAGGCGCCGTTTTGTATTCATCACCACCACAACAAACGTCATCGGGATTAGGTTTTGGTAAGTGGCAAAAATAGAAAATAGTTTTCATTTATTTTTATTGTTTTTGTTTTTCTTTTTGATAATTTGTTTATTGTATTTTTTTTTCAAAAAGGGAGAAAGTAAATTTGCGAAAAATAGAAGAGCAAAGTTGATATTAATGTGCCTCAGGTTTAGTGGACAGAAGAAAAAGGTTTGAGGAAGGCTGTTTTTCTGCGGATATTGGTGATTAATTCCGAATAAATAAAACACATTACTTCCGGGCATAAATCTAGCACTTGAAGAGCTTAATTTATTTCGACGTTTTGTGAATTACCTTCAGGAACGTGAGGGGCATACAAGTAGATTTTTTTCTATTGAACTTTTGCAGGGCCACGGTATGAATTTTTAAAGTAAACAATAGCACACTGGCGTGGATTTTAAAGTAAATTTTCTAGAGAAATAAAAGGCTCACTGACGTGGATTTTTAAAGTAAAATTTTCTAGAGAAGACAAAACACCACAGGCGTGGATTTTTAAAGAAAATTTTCTAGAGAAGACAAAGGCTAACAGGCGTGAATTTTTAAAGAAAAATTTCTAGAGAAGACAAAGGCTAACAGGCGTAAATTTTCTAGAGAATACAAAGGCTCACAGGCGTGGATTTTTAAAGTAAATTTTCTAAAGAAGACAAAGGCCCACATAGGCGTGGATTTTTAAAGTCAATTTTCTAAAGAAGACAAAGGCCCACATAGGCGTGGATTTTTAAAGTAAATTTTCTAAAGAAGACAAAGGCCCACATAGGCGTGGATTTTTAAAGTCAATTTTCTAAAGAAGACAAAGGCCCACATAGGCGTGGATTTTTAAAGTCAATTTTCTAAAGAAGACAAAGGCCCACATAGGCGTGGATTTTTAAAGTCAATTTTCTAAAGAAGACAAAGGCCCACATAGGCGTGGATTTTTAAAGTCAATTTTATAAAGAAGACAAAGGCCCACATAGGCGTGGATTTTTAAAGTCAATTTTCTAAAGAAGACAAAGGCCCACATAGGCGTGGATTTTTAAAGTCAATTTTCTAAAGAAGATAAAGTCTAACAGGCAATTTTACCACAGTTTATCATATTAAATTTAAATCAGCTCGTTGTGAAACTCTCGAAAGTGTTAGGACATTGGAAAAATATTGATCTTGAAGTATTTTCGATACTCTTTTCGAAAATGCATACAACAATTTCGAGGCACCGATCATTGCGGAACCTGTGGCAAATTTAATATTAAATTAACATATTTAAATCGAATCTCGGAAAGGTTACAACATTCAGAAAATATTGGTCTAGTGGTATTTTCAACCGATTATTGCACTCCTGAATTTGTCCGTGGGCAAACTTATTTTGAATTAACATATTTAAATCGAATCTCGGAGGGGTTACAACTTTTGGAAAATATTGATGTAGAAGTATTTTCGATGCTCTTTCCGAAAATGCATATCAACAAGCTGTACCCCTTACCCTTTTCTCACAATGGATTTCAATTTAAATCAGGCCAATGTGGGAAATTTTGGAAGTCAGGCAATTTAAATCAGGCTGCTGTGGAAATTTCGGAATGGTTGTCACTCCGAAAAATATAGGTCTAGAAGTATTTTCGATGCTCTTCCCAAAAATGCATATCAACAGGCTGTACTCCTGACCATTTGTCAGTGGGCCCACACAAAATCTTCAAGTCAGGCAATTTAATTCATATCATACGATAATGTTGTGTCTGTGTCTGATGTTCACATTTAAGCCAATTAGTTTGCCATGCCAGTCACCCCAACACAATATTTAATGAAAGCCTTTCATATTTGGTTTTGTTCTTTTGTCAAAACAAAGGAAAAGCAAGCACATCTACACCTTTCATCTTCTTGGAAATATGAATCACATGCATGGGAACATAAAGTGTTTAGTGGCGGCATTTACACACTCACAACTAAGAATAGTGAAAAGAAAAAAACTAACCAAAAATGGCAGGCAAAAACAAAAATCCACAATAAAAATTGACAAACAAAACATGTCAATACCTGTGAATGGTCAAGAAATTTTTTTTTTGCGTTGCATAAATCGCCCAAACAATTTGCATGACGATACAATGACAAATAAACTGTCTATACATACACACACAAGTATTTGGCAAAACTGCAACAACGTAGTTTTAATATCAATTTTGTAGGAAGAGAATATTCCAAGGGTCCGTTGTTTTTTTCTGTACTCAAAGTCTTTTGGTTCAATGTATAACCTTCATTGTTGTTTAACCCATTTAAAAAAAAATCTACATATAGCTTCTATATGAAGATTCGAATATTCCAAACCGAACTTCTTTAAACCGCCTTTGATTTGAAGGTATCATCTTTATTAAAAAAAAAACAATTTGTTTATGCAAATCATTAGCATGCTCTTGATATATTCAGAACAGTACACAGACATTTGTCACTCCTCCAATATTAAAAGTATTGAAGAAGTATTCTATGGAACAATAACAAAAAATTCCAGTATGGTGACAATTTTGATGAAATTATTTCCACTGAAAACAATTGAAATGAAATCAAATTTTATTTGCACTGTATCTTCTTGCCCAGATGTGTTAGCTTCCTAATGAATTTCAAATTTGATTAGCAAGTATATAGGTATAGTCTTCTAAAAACCTCCTCTCTCCACCTCCCCTTCACCACTGGAGAGAGGAGGGAGAGGTTTTTATTTTGTTGTTGTATTATATTTTATTTATACCTGTAATAAAAACATGGCTTGTAAACAATTTATTTATCGTTGATCCCCCTCCATCTCAAGCATCGATCGGAAAGAGAGGAGACACAAGGTATTTTTTTTTGTATTTTGTCAGTGACTTTCAAAGCAGCCAACAAAAACACGTTTAACACATGTTTGCATTCTGTCGTCCAGGTTGAGTGAGTGACTGACTGATGAATAAATAATGGGTACAGATTAGATTTTGAAATGCCATGTTTGTTTTCCGCTTGAATGGAAAGTAATATGAACCCTATCGGTGCAACTATTAAAAAATGGTAGATTTTCAGAGTACATTTTGTTTGAGCTCACTGTGTGAAAATGATCACGAGTACAGGTTTCCCGTATGGATTTTCGGAGAGAGCATCGAAAATGCTTTCGGACCAATAATTTCCAGAAGATGTAGCCCTTCCCAGATTTTCACAGCGGTCTGACTTAAATTGAATGTGATAAAAAAGAGGTAGATTTCGTTTGGGCCCACTGTGAGACAACTGATCAGAAGTACAGAATACCTATATACATTTTCGGAGAGAGCATCGAAATTGCTTTAAAATCTATATTTTCCAGAAGTTGTGACCCTTCCTATATTCCAACAGTAGCCTGATTTAAATTGCATTACTCGAATTGAGTGCGACCGAAAACTGAAACATTTTGTTTGAGCCCACTGTAAAACAAATGATCAGGAGTACAGCTTTCCCGTATACATTTTCGGAAAGAGCATCGAAAATACTTCTAGACCACTATATTTTTCAGAAGTTGTGACCCTTCCGAAATTTCGAACACTAACCTGATTTAAATTACCTGACTTGAGTGCGACAGTAAAAAAGAGTAAGATTTTGTTTAAGCCCACTGTGAGACAAATGGTCAGGGCTACAGCCTGATGGTATGCATTTTCGGGAAGAACATCGAAAGTGCAACAACCCTTCCCAGATTCCCACAGTAACCTAAGAGGAAGATTTTGTTTGGGCCCACTGTGAGACAAATGGTCAGGAGTACAGCTTGATAGTATGTATTTTCGGAAAGAGCATCGAAAATGCTTCCAGACCAATGATTTCCTGAAGATGTAGCCCTTCCCAGATTTCCACAGTGGACTGATTTAAATTTCCTGACTTAAAATGAATGTGACCAAAAAAAGAGGAAGATTTTGTTTGGGCCCACTGAGAGACTTGCAATCAGGGTTACAGCCTGATGGCATGCATTTTCGGGAAGAGATAACCACAGTGATGTGAATTAAATTTGATATACGAAATTTTTAATATTTATTCTTCTAAACTCAAAATCCAGCTTTTTATGATTATTCAGCTACTAAAACCTGAATTCAGTTAAATATTTTATCAATTCAGCAAGCTTTTGATGACAAAATTTAAACGAATAACAATTTTATAAACGCTTTTGGGTCTATTCAGCTATCAATTTCATCAATTCAGCAGCTTTAAAATCAATTCAGCAAGCTTTTAACGACGAAATTTCACCTGATAATCACATTGGAGACCTGATTATGTCTATTTAGCTACAAAGCCATAAATTCAGCTTGTAATGACGAAATTTCAACTGATAATCACATTGGAATCCTGATTATGTCTTTTTAGGAACTACAACGTAAATTCAGCGAATAATTTTAACAATTCAGCTATGATAAAAACAATTCAGCAAGCTTTTAATGACAAAATTTCACCTAATAATAACTTTATATACGTGTTTAGGTCTATTCAGCTACAAAACCATAAATTCAGCTAAAAATTTTCACAATTCAGCTTCGGTAAAAACAATTCAGCAAGCTTTTAATGACAAAATTCCATCTGATAATCACATTGGAGACCTGATTATGTCTTTTTAGCTACTAAAACATGAATTCAGCTAACAATTTCCATCAATTCAGCTATGATAAAAACAATTCAGCAAGCTTGTAATGATGAAATTTCACCTGATAATCACATTGGAGACCTGATTATGTCTATTTAGCTACTAAAACATGAATTCAGCTAAGAATTTCCTCAATTAATCTATGATAAAAACAATTCAGCAAGCTTTTAATGAAGAAATTTCACATTAGATAATTACATTGGAGATCTGATTATGTCTATTTAGCTACTAAAACATGAATTCAGCTAACAATTTCCATCAATTCAGCTATGATAAAATCAATTCACGAAGCTTTCAAAATAAAATTAAAATTTATCCTAATAAGAACTTTGGATGAGGTATCAGCTATATCTAATATTTCTGTTCTACAATTTTTTTGTTTTATAGGTTCTGGATTAGCGGCCGGTGCAATTGGTGGCGCCATTTTGGGTCATGTCTTGACTCCGACACAAACCAAGGTTGTTGAACAGGCTCCAGCTGCTGGTAATGCTGCCGGTGGTGGTGATCGTGTTATTATTATCAACAATACCGGACAACCGATTAATGCCACGGATGCTAATGGGGCCACTGTTATCAATGCTGGTGGGGCTGCTGCTCCAGCTGCCGCTACAGGAGATGCCGCAGCTGCTGCCGCTCCCATGGCTCCCTTGGCACCTTTGGCCCCCATGGCTGCTGCTGATGAGATGAACAATACAACGCTGGCACCTCCCATGGCCGGTGCTGGTGATGCAAATGCAACAACTGCTGAACAACCTCCAGCACCTGCTCCGGGTGGCATCATCTGTGTTCCAGTACGTGTCAATGCCACCGATCCCAATGATGCAAGCAAAATGATGGAAGTTGAACAAATTGCCTGTTATCCTGCACCACCACCAGCAGCAGCACCAGCTGCCATGGATCCTGCCACTGCTGCGGGACAACAACCACCACCCGCCGAAGGTTCGGCACCATTGGCCCCCATACAACCCATTCCAGGTGAAGGATCCCAACAACTGCAACAATCCACATTGGTGGGGGAACAAAATGCTAAACAAGCCGATTCGGCAGCCAATCCACAGCAGCAACAGGGACTTTTGGGTCTTATTGTGTGCTTTGTGGTCAGCTATGCGCTTGCCTATTGAGAAAATAATTTTTTTCACAATCTCCCAACAGTTTTTTGAAATCACAAAAATTATTTTAAGAATCTCAAAAATAAAAAAAATGAACAAGAAAAGTATTCTCCTAAGCTACCATAACGCTACGGCTGCTAATTAGTATTCATTGCAGGCAGCTGAACAGTCAAGCGACCTTGAATATTTATTATTATAAAAAAAAAATAAATAGTGCTTAATAAATATTGAAAAATATAATACATACCTCAATTGAAAAAGAAAAAGCTTTAAATGTTAATAAATTGTAATTTTTGTCCTTAATAATAAAATTTTCAATAAACCACGACAAACAACGTCATTGCTTGTCATCTCCTCCCTTTATTCAAATATATATATTAAAAATTAATAAACTTCCCTTCCATATTTAAAAAAATAACCCCTTGACAACACCCACAATAAACATAAACCAAATTTGAATACGTCACATTCCTTCCAAACCAATTCCTTATGACCTTTGTTGACCTTTTAGTTTAACCTCTCAACACAAAGCAACTAAATTGTATTATCAAATGAAAAACAAAATATAAATATAAACATGTTTGGTTTTGTACTTGTATTTGTTTTGAACAGAAAAGAACAGAACCGAACAAACACACAGCTATACTAAAACTAAGCCACTTGAACTACTGGCGATTTATGGCCTTAAATATGAAACTGTAATTAGGGAATTTTATTATTTTTTTGTAAAACACTACTGCAACTGTCTTGCTCATTGTTTTTGTATTATTTACACATTGTATTACTGCTACAAAAACGACAACAACTACTATTGTTATACAAATTATTCAATAACATTTTTTTTGTTGGCAGTTTTTTTACCGATATGAAAACGATACTGAAACTATCTTGTTGTCTACATTTTTTGTATTTTTATTCTTATTGTTATAAACTTAAAAATTGTTGTATTTTATTTAAATTATAAATATTTTATTCTCTCGAAATAAATTTAAAAAATAAATGCACTCATAATACTCCAACACAGGAAATATATTTGTGTGTTTTATTCAGAGTTGTTTTCCAATTTTGACCAAATCTCTATCAAATCTTCAATTTAGAGATTCGATACCAATGGAGAATTTGTTCCACACTATATTTGAATTTTAGTCTCCAAAGAAATTTTATCTCTAACTGTAATACTTATTACTGAAATTGGTAGTAAAAAATTGGAAATGTTCAAAATTAGGTTAAACTCGTTTTTTTTAGAGGTGTTCACGATTTAAGGCCAAAACTTCACGAAATCTTCAGTTTAGAGATTCGATGCCAATGGTGAATTTGTTCTACACAAAATTTGAATGTAAGTCTCCAAAAAATGCAATCTCTAACTGTAATATTTATTAGAGAAATTGGCAGTACAAAATTAGAAATATTCAAAATTAGGTTAAACTCGTCTTCCTTTAGAGATGTTTTCGAATTAAGCCAAAATCTGCCCAAAATCCTAAATTTAGAGATTCGATGGCAATGGAGAATTTGTTCTCCACTAAATTTTAACATAAGTCTCCAAAGAAATGGAATCTCTAACTGTAATACTTACTAGGGAAATTGGTAGTAACAAATTGGATATATAAAAAAATGAGGTTAAATTCGTGTTTCTTTAGAGTTGTTCACGAATTAAGGCCAAAACTCCACAAAATTTTCAGCTTAGATATTTGATGCCAATGGAAAATTTGTTCTACACTAAATTTGAATACAAGTCTCTAAAGAAATGCAATCTCTAACTGTAATAGTTATTAGGGAAATTGTTAGTAACAAATTGGATATATAAAAAATTAGCTTCAAGTCATGTTTCTATGGAGTTGTTTTCGAATTAAGCCCAAGTCTGCCTAAAATCCTCAATTTAGAGATTCGATGGCAATGGAGAATTTGTTCCACACTAAATTTCCACATAAGTCTCCAAAGAAATGCAATCTCTAACTGTAATATTTATTAGGGAAATTGTTTTTAACAAATTGGATATATAAAGAAATTAGGTTATATTAGGGTATTTTACAAATTGTGCCAATTTCACCAATTATAACACATTTTAGGGAGTTACCGTCAAAGGACAACAAAATCTACGTTAAATTTCACTATAGTTCGCCTCACAACATAAATCTCTAGGTATAATAGATATTAGGGAAATCTGTAGTAACAAATTGGATATATAAAAAATGAGATTATGTTCGTGTGGTTTCTAATTTAAGGCAAATATACCCATTGTACTGCATTTTAGGAAGGTGTTGTCAATGCCGAAAATATTCTACATCGTATTTTAGTAGGGGTCGCCGAAAACGCAAAATCTCTGGGCACTAGAGAAATCTTAAATAAATAAATATCGTTTTTAAATTGATCTCATAAAAAGGATTTTTCCTCTGATTATTTTCATACCTTTTTTCAATTTAGTCCACAATTTTACATTTTAGGAACATGGTGTTAATGGCAGAAATATTCTACATCAAATTTGACTATGGGTGTCGGACCAAAAGAAATCTGTAATTATAATAGATATCAATAAAATAACGGTTTGAAATTGAAATAAATATATTTGCCATGTTACTTTCGCATATTTTCCATTGTGAACTCAATTGAGGGACTTGGTTTCATTTTAGCGACTTGGTGGCAATGGAAGAAATATTCTACGTTAAATTTCACTATGGGTCCCGGACCAAAAGAAATCTGTAATTATATCAATAAAAATAGCGATTTTAAATAGGGTATATTACAAATGAAGACTTTCCTTTGGTTATTTTGCACGTTCTCACAAATAGGTCAAATCGGACCTCAATAGTTTATTTTATGGACTTGCTGTCAATGGAGGAAATATTCTGCACCCAATTTCATCACGTGTCTCCAAAGAAAAGAAATCTGTAAGTATAATATATATCAATGAAATATCGGTTTTAAGTTGTGTCTATACTTTTTGTTAAGTAATTGTATACGTTCTTCCAAATTGAGCGATTTTAACCATAATACTTCATTTTATGGAGTTGGTATCAATGGAGAAAATATTTTACACTAAAATTCCTTTAGGGGTCTCCGACCAAACGAAATCTGAAAAAATACAATTTATATCTAAAAAAACATCGAATTCAATTTGTATATCTAAATTAAAATATTTTTCAATTTTTTTCTCACATCTTCCAAATTGGGTTAATTTGAGTGGGGGAGGTCTTGAGAACAATAAACTATGACATGGGAAATCCCCCTTGACGTGAGATTACAATCGGATTTTGCAATTTTGATTGCATGCAATAATTAATGTCAACTATCAGCCAGCCGCCATTCATTTATAGATAGGCTACCTATCGCTGCTGACTGAGTGAATGACTGTCTAAATGGCAGATCCATGACACTGAAATGAATTAAAAAATCAGATAAGATTATACAAAGAAACTATGCCACCTATTAATAATAATAATATCCAAATGAGATAGCACACAAAGGGTTACAAATGTGGCCAACAATTGTTACACTTCGTCACCATCCAGATGAGTAATCATCGATTGCCGGTGCTCTAGAAAAAAATATTGTACCTATATGCAAAAAAACACAAAACAAATAACTCATTATTCAATTTTAATAAAAAAAAAACAACAAAATCTCCCAAACAAAGCCCACCTTACCGAATACGGCACACATGACCATAAATACCACCAACCTGCATCGGTATGTATGTGCGTAATTCTTAACGACTGCTTTCAATGATAAGACGCTCGGAAAGGGAAATGAATGCTAAAAATGTCTGATTTTTATCGTGGCCATAACGGCAAAACTATCACTCATGACATATGAGTAAATAAAACCTTTGAAATCCACAGAGAATCACAGGGAATATGTGTGTGTGTGACAGAGAGAGAGAGAGTGCAAGATCGCAGAGAGAATGTGTTAGATTACCGATAATGAAACGTAAATATAAATAAACAAATTCGTAATGCATTGCGCTAGAATGTCAGAGATGGAGGTGTGAGAAAGGCAGAGAGAGAGACGTAGAAGGCTAACAGACATTTTTATAGTCAATGTCAAATGCCAAGAGATGTGGATTTTTAAAGTAAGTTTTCTAGAGAAGACACAACCGTGCATTTTTAAAGTACATTTTTTAGTGTAATTAAAGGCCTTCAGCTTGGGATTTTTAAAGTAAAATTTCTAGAGAAAACAAAGGCTTAGAGGCGTGGATTTTTAGAGTAAATTTTCTAGGGAAGACAAATGCTCACAGGCGTGGATTTTTAATCTGAATTTTCTAGAGAAGTCAAAGGCCTACAGGCGTGGATTTTTAATCTGAATTTTTTAGAGAAGGCATACAGGCGTGGTTTTTTAAATTAAAATTTCTAGAGAAGTCAAAGGCCTACAGGTGTAGATTTTATAAGTAAATTTTCTCGTGAAATCTATGGTCAACATATGTGGAAGGCCTACATACCTTTATTTTCGAGAGAAGTCAAAGGCCTACAGGCGTGGGTTTTTAAAGTGCATTTTTAATAGAAGTAAAAGGCTTAAAAGCGTGGATTTTTTGTCAAATTTTTCTGGAGAAGTAAAAGGCTCAAAGGCGTGGATTTTTTCGTCGAAAATTTCTGGAGAAGTCAAAGGTCTACAGGCTTGGATTTTTTAATTATTTTTTTTCTTAATTCACAACTCCCATCTCTGTCTAATTTACTTCAATAACTGATAACTGATTTAATTCATAGTATTACTATTATTATCGTTGTTGTTGTTGCTGCCGTTCCAGGTTCCCGATAAGATATGTGATACTTAGCTATCCAGCAAACCATGAGAAACCATTTGGCCATTGATTGTCATAAAGCAAGTATCGCACGGTTGAAAAACAATAAAAAATATCGGCTGGAATAACAAAATTCCAGAAAACTAAAGAGAAAAAAAAAAACAAAAAGCAAAGTGCATAAAAATAGATACAATATTTATTTACAAGAAGAACTTTTGTTCTAAAGTCCAGATTCCCATATTTGCAGTTGCAGTTTCGCTTCAGTGATTAAATAAAAACAACAAAAACCCCGGGCAACGTCTGTGAAAACAAATACCTACTGCTGGTGGCCTCGGCAGCTGCAGATCACCAAGAGAAGCAGAACGGAGGATAAAAAACAATACAAAGATAACAGAAGCGCATATTTCATATGGTCCAACTATGAACAAAACTGACCGCAAAGTTATTTGCCTCCATTCGTGCATATCAGGGTATAGCTGGGAGAGCGGTCCCACCGTCCATACACCCATGCTTGGCTGGCTGTCTGGCTTATTGTGTGCTTGTCATTTTTAAGGTTTTGTTTTTGTTGCTCTCTATTTTATTTATCAATGAACAACTCAATGTAATTCCCTTAATATCTCACACATACACAGACTCTCTCTCCCACATCCTCTCTATGACACACAGCGAGCATTTTAAACTCTGAGTAATAATAAAACAAAACAAATGGAGCCAACAACAACCACAGCATTATATCGCAATTACAATGAGCCTTGGTTTCCCAACAATTTATCTTCTTCACAACAATTGCCACAGGTCCGCGAATCTGAAGGCATGCTTATCGCCACAGCAGCAACAGCAGCCAACGAACGTAGAGGAGGCGGCGGCGCCCAACCAAAAACCATTATGAAATGTTTGCGCGATCGTACACCCAGCAGTAGTTATACGCGTTCCAACAGCCATATAGCACGTGCCAACGGTGGTCTTGTGTCGCCCAGGCAACAGCCACAACCGCTGCACCACCCACCACAAAGGGAGCCACGGCCGCGTCCCATTAAATTAACCCTGCTAAAGTCGTCAAGTACCCGTGATCTATCACGTCTTATGGAACTGGAAAATGAAGTACCACTAGCTCAATCCTCTTCGACGGCAAATCTTTTAAATATGACTTCTAGTCCATCATCGTTATCATCTTCCGCTTCCAATCAGCAGTGTTCCGGTTCATGTTTAAAACAAATACACAGACTTGAACAGCGCATAAATAATTTGGAATCACTTCTGAATCAGCAAGAAATTAATGCCATCGAAATGGCTACGCGGCTTGAAGAATTCAATAAAAAATTGGATTTATTTGCAAAGGAAACGGAAATGCAGCAGCAGCAACAACAACAGTCACCTCAGCAACAACAGAGTAAACGTAAAAAATCTGGATCGCCACGATTTGGTAAAAAGGAGAATTCCAGTGGCAGTACATCAGGTGGTGGTGGAAGTGGTGTTGTGCAACCCTCCAAATTAGTGGCCTGGATAAAATTATCAAATTTCTGGAAACAACGGCCCAGTATACAGACATTAAAGGAACAGAATATCTATAATGGTAAGATAACAGAATGGAAAAGAACAAAAGGAAAAAGAAAAATTAAAAAAACAATAACTTTGTAAGAAGAGATTTCAGATATCAGTGGCAAGAAGCGGAGATTCAAAAGTGTGGATTTTTAAAGTAAATTTTCTAGAGAAAACAAAAGCAAACAGGCGTGGATTTTTAAAGTACATTTTTTAGAGAAGTAAAAGGCTAACAAACGTGGATTTTTAAAGTAAATTTTCTGGGAGAAATCAAAGCCCCGCAGGCGGGAATTTTTAAAAGAAATTTTCTAGAGAAGACAAAGCCCCACAGGCGTGGATTTTTAAAGTAAATTTTCTAGAGAAGACAAAGGCGAGCAGGCGTGTATTTTAAAAGTACATTTTTAGAGAAGTAAAAGACTCACAGACGTGGATTTTTTTAAAGTAATTTTTCTAAAGGAAGACAAAGGCTAACTGGCGTGGATTTTTAAAGTAAATTTTCTAGAGAAAACAAAGGCCCATCAGGCGTGGATTTTTAAAGTAAATTTTCTAGAGAAAACAAAGCCCCACAGGCTTGGATTTTTAAAGTAAATTTTCTAGAGAAAACAAAGCCCCACAGGTGTAGATTTTTAAAGTAAATTTTCTAGAGAAGACAAAGGCTTACAGGCGTGGATTTTTTAAGTAATTTAAAAAAATATATATATATATCATAATCACATTATATCACATAACCACAAATGAAAATAGGTAGTTAAACCACAAACAAAAATAATATTCAAAATTAAATATATATTTATTGTGGTTTTTAATTTGAAATAAATTTAGTGCACTTTGATTCAAATATGATTCATTTTAATCTTCAATAGTGAAGTTTTGTAGGTTGATGACAATAAACCAAAAAAAGTATTTGATGCAAATTTTAAATTAATTTTTCTTTCGGTATACATGTACCTACAGATTTCCTCTGTTCGGTGACCTATAATGAAATTTTATGTAGAATATATCCACCATTAAGACCACTCCTCTAAAATTAAGTATTTAACGAGATATCGGCATAATTTGAAAACTGTAAGAAATTAACCTAAAATGTCCGTAGCCAATTTGGAATTAATTTTTCTGTGATATATATGGCATCTACAGATTTATATTTGTCGGTGACCTATATTGAAATTTTATGTAGAATATTTCCTCCAGTCAAACCACTCCGCTAAAATAATGTATTCCATAAGATTTTGGTATAATTTGAAAACTGTAAGAAATTAACCTAAAAAATGTTCGCAGTTAATTTGGAATTAATTTTTCTGTGGTATATATAGCACCTAGAGATTTCTTTTGTTCGGTGACCTATATTGAAATTTAATGTAGAATAGTTCCCCTATTGAAAACACTCCGCTAAAATTAAGTATTTTAGGAGATTTCGACATAATTTGAAAACTGTAAGAAATTAACGTAAAAAATGTTCGCAGCCAATTTGAAATTAATTTTTGAGTGGTATATATAGCAGCTACAGATTTATGTTGTTCGGTGATTAACGTAAAAAATGTTCGCAGCCAATTTGAAATTAATTTTTGTGTGGTATATATAGCAGCTACAGATTTATGTTGTTCGGTTATGGATATTGAAATTTTGTGTAGAAAATTTCCCCCTTTGAAACCACTCCGCCAAAATTAAGTATTTAAGGAGATATCGGCATAATTTGAAAACTGTAAGAAATTAACCTAAAAATGTTCGCAATCAATTTGGAATTAATTTTTCTGTGGTATATGTGGGACCTGCAGATTTTTGTTGTTCGGTGACCTATATTGGAATTTCATGTAGAATATTTTCTCCATTAAGATCACTCCTCAAAAATTAAGTATTTAAGGAGAGTTCGGCATAATTTGAAAACTGTAAGAAATTAACCTAAAAAATTGTCGTAGCCAACTTGGAATTCATTTTTCGTTGGTATATATAGCAACTACAGATTTATGCTGTTCGGTGACCTATAGTGAAATTTAATATAGAATATTTCCTCCATTTAGACCACTTCGCTAAAATGAAGTATTTAAGGAGACTTCGGCGTAATTTGAAAACTGTAATAAATTAACCTAAAAAAATTAGTAGCCAATTTGGAATTAATTTTTCTGTGGTATATATAACATCTACAGATTTCTTTTGTTTGGTGACCTCTAGTGAAATTTTGTGTAGAATATTTTTCCCAACAATATTTCTAAAATAAAGTATTAGGGTTCAAACTTTATCAATTGCAAATTTATAACCTAACAAATATTTTTTTCTTCCAGATGAACCCTGTTTCGATACGGAAATTGAAATGGTACTCAAAGATGATGTCCACAGTACAGTGCCAAAAATCGTTGTCGATTGTTGTCAATTAATTGAAGATAAATATCGTAAATCCACCGAACCGATTGAGGGTATTTATCGACAATGCGGAGATTATAATAAAATGCAAGCGCTACGCTTTAGTATAGATGCCAATGATTATAATGCGCTGAGGCAATCGAATGTGGATATTCATACCCTGACAGGGGTATTGAAGTTGTTTTTGCGTGAAATCAAAAGTCCCCTGATATCGGCAAATGAAGCCAAAACATTTATTGGGAAACCAAATCAGTGGGGTATGTCTAAAATAACACGATAATTTAAATTATAAAGTAATGTTGTTTTCTCTTTTTAAAGTATTAACAGATTTACCCAATAAATTGGAAATTTTAAAAAGACTGATACGTTCCCTGCCCGAGATCAATCGAGATACTTTGGAGTATTTATTTGCACATTTTAATAGGTAAGTTCAAAATGTAATTATTTTAATAATTTTTATTTACTTCTCCTTTTTATTATTTTTTTTTTTTTTTTCAGACTCACAAAAGTACCGCTGCAACACATTAGTGCCGAAACCTTGGCCATTTCCATAACACCTTCGATATTTCACACAGTCCAGCAGGGAGCTCGAATGCAGGACATCCACGCCCTCTTAAAGGAAAGTGAAATATTATCGGATTGTGTTAAAATCATGATTGAATATCATCAGAAAATATTTGAGTAAGTCGCAGGATTTTCATAAAATTAATTTTCAAAATTAATTTTTTTAATAAACAATTTTTCCTCCTGCCCTCCTCATTTTTTTTTAGATTACCCTCCAGTGGTAGTTTAACAAATTTAATAACACACTTTAATAATCTACCAATACCCCTGCCACGATCCCAACAAATTAGCAACAACAACAAACAATAGTAAACAAATAAAATTGAAATTCCCCCTATCCACAGACCGCATGTAAATCTTTATAACAAGGAAACAAAATGAAATCACAAAATATTAATTTTTATTCCCAATTTTATATTGAAAATTAAACAAATAGTTCATTTTGTTTTTGGTTTCAATTTCTTTATACATACAAAAAAAAATAATAATTTTTCATTTTTTTATTTTTGTAGATGTACCGCTGATCGTAAACACCAAAAGAATCGCATAAGTGTTAGGAATCTAAAGAAGACATTATCACATCCAGATTTATTATTTCAAAATTTATTTTAAAACAAAACTCACACTCACATACAAGCACTTTTTTATATAAAACGCAATACATTACAATAATAACACATAGTATTTATATTTTTATATACATATTTTTTGTACGTAATTTTAAGTATCAAAATATTTTATATAACATAAATTAATGGCAATATAAAAATGTAAATTAAAGTACATACAATTAAAAATATATAGATTTAAAAATATAAAATTGAAAAATATAATTTAAATTGTATTAGTAGCAATAGTTTCCAAAGGGAAAATAAAATGCCATTAACAATAAAATATACTCAAATTGTTAAACATATTTTTATTGTTATATATTATTATTTTGTTCGGTGACCTATAGTGAAATTTAATGGAGAATATTTCTTACCTTGACATCACCCAGCTAAAATTAATTTTAGTGGGCCAACTGGGACCAATTGAAAAAGGACATAAATATTTATATTAATAATTGGCTTCCTTCAAAACCCCATTTTGTATTTGATATTTTTGCCATAAATTGTAGATTTAAGGATTTCTTTTGTTCGGTGACCTGTAGTAAAATTTGATGTAGAATATTTTTCCCATTGACACCATTCACCTCCCATGAAGGATTTTGGAGATTTTGCCAAAAATCGAAAAATGTATAACATTAACCTAAAAATATTTTTTCTCCGATTTGAATTGTATGTTTTTCTATGTATATATAGCAAGTAGAGATTTCTATTGTTCGGTGACCTATAGTAAAATTTGATGTAGAATATTTCCTCCATTGACACCATTCACCTTCCATGAAGAATTGTGGGAGAGATTGCCATAAATCGAAGAATGTATAACATTAACCTAAAAATATGTTTATTCCAAATTGAATTGTATATTTCTGTTGTATCTATAGGAGCTACAGATTTAATTTATTCAGCCACCTATAGTGAAATTTGATGGAGAATATTTCTTTCATTGGCTCCAATTTTCCCCGTTTAAGAATTGTGGAAGTTTTCGGCAAAATTGAAAAAATACATGAAATTAACCTAAAATATTAATATATCCAATTAGAATTGCATTTTTCTTTGGTATATACACAATCTACACACTTCCTTGGTTCTGTGACTCATAGTGAAATTTGGTGGAGAACATTTCTTTCATTGACACCAATCTGTTCAGATAAAGAATTGTGGGAGATTTCGGTATATAGCGAAAATGGAACAAAATTAACCTTAAAATAGTTGCATAACATATCTTGCTTTAATATTCCGCTGGTTTACATAACATCTAGAGATTTCCGTTGTTCCGCAACTTATAGTGAAATTTGATGGAGAATATTTTCTTCCTTAGCAGCAATCCTCTAAATTGGAGAATAATGGGTGATTTTGATATGATTCTAAACAAGCTACAGAAATAACCTAACAATGTGTTTATATCCAATTTGGATTGAAATTTTGTTTGGTTTGCATAACATAGAGAAATTGCTTTTGTTCCGCAACTAATATTGAAATTTTATGGAGAACATTTTCTCCCTTAACTGAAATCCTCTAAATTGAGATTTTCACATGATTCTAAAAAAATACAAAAATAAGCTACAAATTTGTATGTACCCAATTTGGATTAGAATTTTCGATGGTTTATATAACATCTAGAGTTTTCTTTTGTTCTGCGACTCATAGTGAAATTTGATGGAGAACATTTTCTCCCTTAGCAGCACTCCTCTAAAACTATAAATAATGGGAGAATTTGACATGTTTCTAAAAAATCCATACATAACCTAAAAAGGCTATTTTTCAAAACTGAATTACAATAAATATATTCCAATATTTATAACAACTATGGATTTATTTCTATTTTTATCTGAAATTTTATTAATAATTTTCTTTTTGTTTAAAAATGCGTTTATACAATTAACTTATAAATAGTACGGTAGGTTTATTTTTACCTAACCTCAAATTATTTCCTTGCAAGAAGGCAGTGAATTTTTAGTCCTCTCATCGGTGGTTTTTTATTGCCTTCACTCTACAATTTTTTTCTTAGCCGTTTTGACAATAATAACTGTAGTATCACCGCTTGAACGTTTGAAAATTTTATTATCCAATGATGGACTCATCATCGGTACTGCATCATCTCCATTCAAAGAAGGTGAGAGTGGGGACTGTAAATAAAAAAATATTTTTTTTATATTTTACACAATAATTCCAAAATAAAACCAAATCTAAAAACATACCAGGATCTCTTGTAATCCAAGCTCATTGGCATCCTTATATGTGGTTCGGCCATAGCACTGTTAATAAAAATACATTTTTTGTAGAGGATATAATTAAAAAAAATTGTTGTTGAATTTTACCTGGGCCACCAAAATAAAAACAAAAATGGCAATCAATTTCATTTTTTTTCTAAACTTTGTCTGTTGATTTCAAAACTAATGCTGTTGGCTTGTAGTAAATCGCATTTGTTTTTATATAGTCGACACATCTTAAAGCTTATCAGTTACAAAAAATATAAGATTGAATTAAAAATTAATAAACTGCATCATAGGTTAAATGTCAACGATGACAGACAAAACGGGATTTTTTCTTCTAAAGGGGATTTTTCTTGCAAATCAACAAAAAATAAATAGGGGTAGATAGGGATATAATTTATTTTATTTTTGTAGAAATCAATTTTTTCATAGAAAAACACAATTCAGCAAAGTTTTTTCATAACCAAACATTAATTCAGCTACATTCTCCCTTATAAATTCACAATTCAGCAAGGTTTTTACATAGAATACCCGAATTCAGCAAGGTTTTTAATAGAAATCAATTCAGCTAAGCTTTTCTAACAAAAAACTCAATTCAGAAAAAATTTTCTATAAAAAAATTAATTCAGCTAAGATTTTGTATAGACAAGATCAATTCAGCAGCAATATTAAGAAACAAAAATTATTTCAGCAATGGTTTTCTTTTGAAAAACTCAATTCAGCTATGTTTTATTTAAGAAAATATTAATTCAGCAAGCTTTTCTTTTTGAAAACCACTATAAAGCCCACATTTCCATCAAAAAATTATTCAGCTAACGTTTTTGTCGCAAAACTAAATTCAGCTAACTTTTTCTATAACAAAAAATCATTCAACAAGTGTTTTTAACGGGAAAAAATTAATTCAGCCAAATTTTTAAAGTTATTTTAATTGATGAAGCCAAATCAGCTAAGCTTTTCTAACGAAAAACTCAATTCAGCGAACTTTGTTATAAGAAATCAATTTAACAATGATAAATTCATAAATTCAGCAGCAATATTTATAATAACTTATTGTAGCAATGATTTTTTATTGATAACCTCAATTCAGCTATATTTTCTTTTAGAAAATATTAATTCAGCGAGCTTAAAATCCCCAATTCAGCATACTTTTTCATTCAATATATATAATTCAGCTAACTTTTTTAGTCGAAAAACTAAATCCAGCAAGAGTTTTTCGTAGAATAAAAATTAATTCAGCAAAACTTTTTAATTGATGAAGGCAGTTCAGCAAAGCTTTTCTAACGAAAAACTCTATTCAGCGACATTTGTTATAAAAATCAAATCAGCAATGATAAATTCATAAATTCAGCAGCAATATTTTAATAATAACTTAATTCAGCAACGATTTGTTAATAAACTCAATTCAGCAAGGTTTTATTCAAGAAAATATTAGCTCAGCAAGCTTTTCTTTTTGAAAACCTCAATTCAGCATAAATATATATAATTCAGCTAAATTTTTTAGTCGAAATTTAATTCAGCTAACTTTTTCTATAAAAAAACAATTCGGCCACGACATTTATAATAAAATGGCAGATTCATAAATTCAGCAGCAAAATTTATAATAATAAGTTAATTTAGCAACGATTTGTTGTTAATAAACTCAATTCAGCTATGTTTTCTTTAAGAAAATATTAACTCAGCGAGCTTTTATTTTTGAAAACCTCAATTCAGCATACTTTTTCATTCAATATATATAATTCAGCTGAATTTTCTAGTCGAAAAATGACATTCAGCTAAATTTTCTAGTCGAAAAATTAAATTCAGCTAACTTTTTCTATGCACAAAATCAATTCGGCAACGGAAATCTATCGAAACCCCCAATTCAGCAACGATTCTATATAACAAAGATTTTTGAAGAACGGAACTTGAGCTAATAACGCACAATTTTATATAAATATTTTCATGTAATTGCTCTAGCACGGACCTGATGACATTTCCTATTATTTTTCAAAAATTACGTTTTTTACTCATTTCTATCATTTGTTTACATTCACGTAACAAGTTGCATGCATTACACGCTTGTGTGTAAAGCGGCATACATGAAATGTCATGCTGGCCCAGAGAAGTTGGCGTTAACAGCTGTTTTCATTGTTTATGTTTATTTTTATGCTGCCGCAGTCGACGTCTGTCCATAACAGCTGTTAGCATCATTGATTGTTTCCAACAAATTGACAATCATACAAGGAAGGAACCACACTATTGGGAAATCAGGACAAAAGATTAACCATTACAACAACAAAACTACAAGAAAGGAATTAATAAATCTTCTGTCAAATACAATCGAAAGTTGAAGCCGACGTCTGTTTTTTTCAACGCCGACTGTGGCTTAATAAAGCAGTGATTGCTTGCACACATCTTGACCATCATCCAGAGGGAGGAAAATTATGTCAAGGAACGTAGTAAAAACCATTAGAAATGCAATAACAACAACATAAATGAATATCTCTGCAGTTACTCCTGAGAACGAAGATATCAGAAAGCTGCATTAAATTGCTCTCATAAACTTGGCAACATCCATAGGAATTTCTATCGAGGAGTGAAGCAAAAATCGTCATGTCTCTGGATTTAACAACAATTTGTCGTACCTGTATGAATGATGATAGTAAATACTATCAACTTTTCGATTACATTGACGAGGGGCATACCATTTTGGAAATGCTAATGGAAATTGTACCACAACTAGCTGTCGCTGATGATGATGCTGCGGCGGCGGAATTGTCCACAATAATATGTGAAACTTGTGTTGAACAATTAATAACATGTTATAAATTTCAACAAATGTGTCTCGATGCCGATAATCAATTGCGTCAATTAATATACACCTCCAAGGATTTTATTGTGGAGGTGGAAAATGAATGGACTACTACGGAGGCAGCAGAACATAGTAAACATGTTGAGAATGATGACAGTGGGGAAATGAAAATTGAATTATATGATTTAGAGGATAATAACGAGGAAGTAGTGGTGGTGGCAGAGCAGCATATTGAAAGTTATCGGGGGTAAGGGATTTGAATGTGACAAATGTTGCTTACAATTTTGAATATTGATTTATGTAATTTTTATTTCCAGTAAGGAGGAGGAGGATGACAAATATCATGGGCCAATCGAAAAACTTGAGTAAGTATCTTGGAGATTTTTAATGGGAATTATATTTTTAACAATATTTCTTTTTAGAAACCTTGAAACTGTGGCAGACAATGGAACAGAAGATATTATCGAAACCGAATGTGATTTGTCAACTATAGAGTAAGTTTTTATTTAAATCATATTCGATTTTTTGAATATTCTAATAATGATTTTTTCTTCTTGCAGTCAAGGGGTAGTAAATGAGAAGCAATCCCAAAATTCAACTCTAAAAATTATTGAACAAAAGTATGTAAAATTTATATACTTGTAATTGATATTGAACGTTTTTTTTTTATTAAGAAACACAAGTTCTTACCAAAAATTATGAACGTAGGACGATGGGTTCGTGCCTTCCTTATTTCGATTTCAAGATTTGTGAACATATTTCACACATTTATCAGCTAATTGGTTGTAATTTGGCATTGAGAGTTCCTATTGAGTACCACAACTGCCTACCAAAAATGATCAAAATTGGATCACCTATTCGTATAGCTACCACACAAACCTACCTCCGATTTCAAGATTTTTGGTGCATATTTTCCACATTTATCAATTAAATGGGATGTAATTCGGTATCGGAATTCCACATTGGGTAACATAGCTAACTACCAAAAATTATCAATATCGGCCCAGTTTTATATACAGCTCCCACACAAATTTACCTCCGATTTCAAGATTTTCGAGGTTTTTTTTGAGATTTATAAACCAAAATTCCTGTAATTTGGTATTGGAGGTTATCATTGGGTAACACAACTGCCTACCAAAAATGATTAATATCGGTCCAGTTTCATATATAGCTCCCACACAAATCTACCTCCGATTTCCAGATTTTTGAGGATATTTCTGAGTTTTATGAACCAAATTGGCTGTAATTTGGTATCGGAGGTTCTTATAGGGTAACACAACTGCCTATTAAAAATGATCAATATGGGTCTACTTTTTCCTATAACTCCCCCATAAACCTAACTCCGATTTCACGATTTTTGAGGATATTTCACAATTATTTGTATTTTCTTTCTCATTGCAGTTCAGATATCGCCAAATCTCCTTCTCCCGTTAACGAAAAAGAACCAAACAATAACACGAAAAATATTATTGAAGAAACTGAACAACAAATTATGAATTGTTTTTCCGAACTTATTGAAGATGATAATGAATCTTATATGGAAATCGATCAATTGGCAGATGATATGGAGTAAGTCAAAAATGCCTTTAATATTTTCAATTTTTAATAATATGTTTTCCTTTGCTTTCCACAGGGATACACAGTCGGAATATCAAAGTCCTAGTAATCCGGATAATGCAATTGATTATATTGAAACGGATTTAATTGATATTGAAAAGTAGGTGGATTTAAAGAAAGTTTTTTCCTTGCGGTTAAAATTTTGATTATTTTTTTATAGACCAAAATCCCGTGGTGGTGCCGCCACTTCTGCCGAATTTCCCTGTGAAGTTTGTGGTAAAATTTTCAATACCCTATCACGTCTACGGCGCCATGGGCCCGTTCATTCCCTGGACAAACCATATGCCTGTGAAATATGTAAACACCGCTTCTCTTCACAGTATTATTTGAAAATACACAAACAATCCCACAACAAAGTTGGCGAAAAGAAACCTCAACCCCCTGGTGGTTTCAAATGCCCCGATTGCCCAAAAAGTTTTCACAATCAACCAGCCTTAGCCTCGCATCGCCAGGTTCACAGTAGCCGTAAATCATCAAAGCGTAACATCATCTGTGCTTTATGTCAACGGGCATTTTTGTCAATGAAAACCCTAACCGATCATCTCAAGACACGACATCCCGATGCCGAGAAATTCTCCTGCGATCAATGTGGTAAGAAGTTTCTACTCGAAGAACGTCTGCAACGCCACATGGCAGCACACAAGGATTTGGTGTGCACGATTTGTAACAAAGAATTTACCTCCGAACCAACACTGAAGGAACACATGAATATACATTCGGGAGCATGTCCCTACTTATGCTCGGAATGTGGTAAAGCATTTAAATTTGCCAGTAGTCTAAGGAAACACATTGAACGCCATTCGGAAATAAGTAAACATCATTGTACACAATGTCCGCGAAGCTTCAAATGTCGCAGTGATTTGAATAAGCATGCGAAAAATCATTTGGGTCTAAAGCCGTTTAAATGTGATGTTTGCGGAGCGAAATTTACCAGAGGATTTAACTTGGAGCAGCACAAAAGATTGCATTCGGAACAAAGTTTACACAAGTGTAATGTGTGTAATGTAACGTAAGTTGGAGGGAAATTTGATTTTTCTTGAAAAAATTTTTAATGGAAAATTATTTTTCAGATTTTCCACAATGAGCCATGTTAGGCGTCATATGCGTACCCATGTGAATGTCGACAAAGAAGAGTGTTGAGAAGGTTTTGAAAACTAGGACGTTTTTGTTACCCTCTCACCCTGTTAAAAAGAAGAACTAGAGGTCATAGACGAACCCCTGGAAAATGTTAAAAAATAGTGTGTAAATCTTAAGTTTTTTATATGAGAGTATTGTCTAGTTATTAGGTTGTAATATATAGTTAAGACTTGTTATTTATTGACTATATGTGAATTTATGATTTATATTTTTTTAACAAATTTAGAATTTAAATTATTAAAATAAATTTAAATAACAAAGAAGTGTTGATATTTCATTTTTTTAATATGGCTCCCCTATTTTAAAGTTTTTGGTGATATTTCGCACATTTATTAACGGAATTGGCTGTAATTTGTTATCGGTAGTTTTCATTAGGTTGCTTGCCAAAAATCATTAACATCGGTCCACCTTTAGGAATGGCTCCCATACAAAGCTAACCTCTATTTTAAGGTAATTGGAGACATTTTAACATTCATTAACCAAATTCGCTGTTATTTGGTACATGGGGTTCTCATTAGGTAAAATATCATCCTACAAAAAATTATCAACATTGGTCCACTTTTAGATATGGCTCCCACACAAAGTTACCCCCAATTTTTAGGGTTTCGTAGATATTTCCCACATTTCTTAACGGAATTGGCGGTAATTTGGTATATGGAGTTCTCATTAGGTAACACAAATGCATACCAAAAATCATCAACATCGAACCACTTTAAAGTATAGCTCCTACACAAAGGTACCTCCGATTCCCTGATTTTTGCAGATATTTCAAACATTTATTAACCAAATCCGCTGTAATTTGGTATAGGGAGTTCTCATTAGGTTATACAACTATCTACCAAAAATCATCAACATCGATCCACTTTTAGATCTAGCTACCACATAAGGGTACTTCCAATTTTAGGTTGGTTTAGGATATTCCACACATTTATAACCCAATTGGATTTAAAACACACATTTTTGTTACTTTTATTAGATTTTGAGTAAAAAATTAAAAAAAAAAATCGACCAGATTCAGACTATAGACTAAATGACTAGAATTCTATACATTAGTTCCGCCTTAATAATCGTTAGACATTTTTAGTTTTCATCTTTCATTTCCGCTTTGGCATTATTTTTCTTTTCCTCTAGGTTTTCTTCTTCATGTTCTTCCCCTTTCTTTCCTTTTGCTTCACTTTCTCCTCCATCGTCCCGATTTATTGCCCCTTTAAAATGTTCTATCAAATGTTTACGCAATTCCGAATTATATTTAAATGCCATTGGACATTCATTACACAAATAGGTCTTTTCGCCCAAATGGATACGCAGATGTTTGGTCAAATCTCCACCCACAGCATAGGCTTTATTACAGTATTTACATTTGTAGGGTTTCTCTCCGGTATGGGTACGCATGTGCCGTTTCAAATGATATAAAATCGCAAACGATTTCTGACACTGTTCACATTTATGCGGTCTCTCGCCCGTGTGCAATCGCTTGTGTTCCAACAGCGAATAGGCTCGCGAGAAACGAAATCCACAGATATCACATATATGCGGTTTAAAATTTGTATGCGTTGCACGATGTTTCCGCAAGTCGGACCCGCATTTAAATCGCCGTGGACATTCAGGACATGGATAGGTGGCCTGTCCGGCATGTCGTGTCATGTGTTCACTTAAATTACTTGAACTACGAAATGTTTTGCCACACTGTGGACACAAATAGGGGCGTTCTCCGTTATGGCTACGCATATGTTTCTCCAGCGAACTTTTATATTTAAAGTCGCGTTCACATATTTCACAGAATAGTGGTTTCTTTTTATGCCGTTGCTTGAGGTGTTTATTCAAGTGCTGTCGTATAAGAAACGATTCGCTGCATTTTTCACATTTCAGTTTTTCAGTCTTGGGATGTTCGATTTTGATGTGTCGCATCAACGATCGTATAGATTCAAATTTATACTCACACACCTCACAGATTATATCTTCGGAGGGCGTTTTATGTATTCTACGATGTTCTTTTAATAAGGTTATGTTTTCAAAGTGTTCCGAACAATTGGAACAGGTAAAATCCGTTCTATCGGAATCCTTGTGTCTTTTACTTTGATGATTATTTAAATATTTGGCCGAGGAAAAATTTCGCTTACAAATATCACATCGATGGGGTTTAGTTTTTGAATGGGTGTTAAGGTGACGCTTTAAGGTTAGGTTTTCCTCAAATACCATATCACACATTTCGCAGGGGAATTTGTTTTCATTTGCTACATTATTATTGACTGGGGGTCTGGAAAAAAGGACAACATTATTATTAGAGTTTCAATTTGATATTTATTTGTATATACCCCTATGCACAGATATACCCCCTATTTTTATATTTTTGATATTTCTTACATTTATTAACTAAATTGGCTGTAATTTGATATCACGAGATCTCGTTGAGTAACACACCAACCTACCAAAAATTATCAACATTGGACCATGTTTTGTTATCGGCCGCACACAATGTAACCCCCCTATTTCAAGATTTTTGAGGATATTTCTCGCATTTATCAACTAAATTGACTGTAATTTGGTATCAGGAGTTCTCTTTGAGTAACACACCAGCCTACCAAAAATTATCAACATAGGTCCACGTTTTCGTATAGCTGACCCAATATTTTTGAGATTTTCAAATCAAATTTTCTGAAAATTGGTTACGGGAGTTCTAATAGAGTTACACAACTGCTTACCAAAAATTATTAACATAGGTCCATTTTTTGTTATAGCTCTCTCACAAGGTAACCCCCCTATTTCAAGATTTTTGAGGATATTTCTGAGATTTTCAAACCAAATTTTCTGAAATTTGGTATCAGGAGTTCTCATTGAGTAACACACCAATCTACCAAAAATTATCCACTTAGGTCTACGATTCTATATAGCTGCCCCACAAAATCATTCCTAATTTCAAGCTTTTTCAGGATATTACTGAGATTTTCAAATCAAATTTTCTGAAATTTGGTATTAGGAGTTCTCATTGAGTAACACACCAGTCTACCAAAAATTATCAACATAGGTCTATGTTTGCGTATAGCTGCCCCATAAAGTCATTCCGAATTTCAAGCTTTTTGAGGATATTTCTGAGATTTTCAAATCAAATTCTATGAAATTTGATATCGGGTGTCCTCTTTGTGTAACACAACTGCCTGCCAAAAATGATCAGTTTTCTAATAGTTCTCCACAAAGGCCCATATTTTAGGTGTATTTTTTGGAAGTTACTGTGTTCTTTTGAGATAATTGATCTGTCCACACTATCATACTTCTAAAATAATAATACTTACATCTTAAAATCCAATATCTGCCTTGAATCGCTACAGTTTTCGTTATTAGATTCGTCGGTTATAATAGTAGTTTGACCTGAATCTGATATATTTTCTGTTGGTACCTCCTCTTTTAATAGAGTTTTTTCTTTGCCTTTAATCTTCCGCCGACTTCTGTGAGGTCCTGTAGATTTTGCGGGTTTATTGCAACCTTCATAGGTATAAATTAGACTAGATCTAATACAGGGCCTAAATTGGCAAATAAAAATATTTGTTTCAATATCCACCGAATATTATCAAACAAATTTACCTTTTTGTGAGGCGCATTTCCCGTTCTTTCAATACGCTTAATTTTTCATTGCTGAAAGATTCAGAAGAAGTTTTATAAATTATAATTTTTTTATATAAATAATTGATTTATCATTTTTTTCCAAAACTACCTTGAATCTGTATCACTGTCATCTGCAGCGGCATATTCACCATTATCCACTATATCCATATCACATTTTATTAAAACATCTACCTTATCAAGGACTTCACCACTATCCCCTTCCGCATTTTCCAACTTCATATCATCCTCTGTCATCAATGGATCCCCTGGTGGGGAGTTCCCCTTTCTTCTTAAATCCTTTTCCCATTTCATCCTCCACTGCAAATCATTTTCTATACATTGTTGTTGGAATTTATATCCCGTCACAAGGCTATCAGCACAATTCTGGCATAGATGTTGTGAAAATATTGTATTATTTTCCCCAATTTTTATTTGCGGTACAATCGAATTTAACATTTCCAGAATTGTATTTTCAGCGATTTTATCATTTAAATGGAATTTGATGTCGGGATGCATACAGGTGCGACAGTGCTGAGTTTTTAAATTTAAGAACATTTTGTCCTAATAATTGAAAAAGGATTTTTGCCTAATCCTGAATTGGGCAAAATTCTATTTGCAATTTTTTTTTGTTTATACACATTTAACAGCTGGTCGGTAACTGTTTTATCGACCTTCCCTTAGAAATGTTTTGCCATGAAAAGCGGTAAATATATGCAATGGTAATGCAGTAGGGAAAGGTTTATTAATTTGAATCAGGTTATTCCAAAGGCCATAGACATTATCCCTGAGTTCCGTTTCAATTTCTATATCACAACGGAGTTTATTTAAAAAAAAATGATTTTTAGGTTATAATTGTTTGTCGTTTTTGTTTTCATTTTTATGACATTTGACCCCTGTACTTAATTTTTTGGGTATGATGTCAAAGAGAAAAATGTTCTAAATTAAATTCCACTATGGTTCTCCGTACATCACATACACATTAGATGACAAATTTATATATACAAACTCCAAGGGAACATAAACTTATATTTTAGAAGAAATCCAAACCATTATTTTAATAACTTTACAAATTCATGTCATTTGTCCATTTAATATTCAATTTTGAGCCACATTATCAATGGGAAAAATGTTCTAAATTAAATTCCACTATGGCCCTCCGAACATCTCGTAACATTAAATGACAATTTTAATATAAATTCTCCATAGGAACTTCGGTATACATAGTGAAGAAATTATTTGCACTACTCATTTTACTTGTTTTCAAATGTATATAATTTGTTCCCCCAAACTTCTATATGACCCATGCTGTCAAAGGGAAAAATGTTCTACATTAAAATTCACTAGGGGTCATCGAACATCAAATATTCATAAAATAAATAGTTTTTCTGCAGCCTCAACAAGAGGTGTTTTTATAAAAAAGAGACATTTTTATTTTTTACTTTTTTTCATTTATACAACATTTTCCTCTTCCTTTACACAACACCCTTCAATTGCATTACTTTCCTCTAAATTCGTATTATTTCGAAAATGTTCCAATTGATGTTCACGCAACTCCGAATGATATTGAAATGTCTCGGGACAATTATCGCACGAATATGTTTTAGCTCCCAAATGTGTCTTCAAGTGTCGCGTTAAATCACCACCACCGGCAAAGGCCTTATCACAGTAATTACATTTATATGGTTTCTCTCCGGTATGGGTACGCATATGCATTTTCAGATTATATGAAATTGCAAACGTCTTATCACATCCATCACATTTATACGGCCTTTCACCGGTATGTAAACGTTTATGTTCCACCAGGGAATAGGATCGTAAAAACCGCATTCCACATATCTCACATTCATGACGTTTGATATTTTTATGTGTTGCCTTGTGTTTACTTAGATCGGCACGACATTTAAATATTTTCGGACATTCATCACATGCACAGCTAGCCTCAGTTGTGTGCCGGGTTAGATGTTCTCTTAAATTAGCTGAATTACGAAATGTTTTACCACACTGGGGGCAGAGATAGGTTTTTGTGTCATTATGGCTGAGCATATGTTTTTCCAATGCACTTTCATATTTATAATCTTTATTACAAATTTCACAAATTAGTTGTTGTTTTTTATGTTGTTGTCTTAGGTGATTTTTTAATTGTTGTTTTGCAATGAAAGTTTGATTGCATTCGTTGCAGGAATGTTTCTCGGACATGGGATGTGTTGCCTTAATGTGGTTTACCAGTGGACGCAGCGATTCGAATGCATGTTGGCAAAATTCACAAATTAATTTCTTTGTGATTTTCTTATGCACTGTTTCGTGGTATTTTAGCAGTTCAGCGGTTTCAAAATACTCTAAGCAGATGGAACATTGGAAATCATCATTAGTAACTGAATTTGGCGATGATGGTATTTCATCTTCTTGAAAACAATCATCTTTATATTTGTTATTAGATCTAAAAATAAATACAAGAAATTAAAATAAAATATAGTAAAATAACTAGTGCATCTTTTTCGAATTAGGTCAAAATCTCTAATAATAAATTATTTTAGAAGGTTGGTGTTAATGGAAAATATACTCTACATAAAATTTCACTATAGGTCGCCGAACAAAAGAAATCTGCAGATATAATATTTTCCAGGGAAATATCAAATTCAAATTCGATTAAAATATTTTTAGGTTATGTTTTGAACATTTTTTTGAATTACAACAAAATCTCCTAGAAAACTCCATCTGAGAAGGATTATGTAAATGGAAGAAATATTCTACATCAAATTTCACTATGGGTCGCCGAACAAAAGAAATCTGCAGCTGTTATATTTTCCAAGGAAATGTCAAATTCAAATTCGATTAATATTTTTTAGGTTATTTTTGGTACATTTTTGAATCATAACAAAATCCATCTGAGAAGAATGCTAATAATTGTATACATACAGCGAATCCATTATGCTCTCCCAGGGCTCTTCCATAAGTTCCTCTGACATTAGAATTTGTTCTGGAACTTGATTTGAAAACCCATTGTCCACATCTGTATATACAAAAGCTTCCTTGTTTTTGTGCTTTGTTTTGCATTTTGATGGCGTGGATATGTTTGGACTATATGGTAAGAAAGTACATTTTTCTGAATTATAAAAATTGGCCGCTTAAGTTTTATGTTTGAATACCATACCTTGTTTCACTGTTCATAAATCCAACTTCAACATGTTCCGGTGAGTAATTCTCGTATTTAATTGAAACCTCCCCTGCCGTCGGTTCATTTATATCTCCTTCCACTTTCATGTAATTCTCCATTAAAGGATCACATATGGGTTTGTCTTGTCCTACATCCTTCGCAAACAAACGCCAGTGTTGTTGATCTGTTTCAATGCAAAGCAATTGAAATCTATAGCCAGTCAATAGCTTATCCGAGCACATTTGACAAATGGCTGTGGATAACTTATCGCCGCCATTGATGGTAATATTGATTTGTGGTACAATTGCATTTAACATTTCCATTACATTGTATTCCTCTATGTAGTCCTTGAGATCGTATTTAATATCTTCACTTAAACATGTCCTGCAGTTGAGTGGCATTTTGTTATTGGGAACACGGCAGCTGATCTGTATAATTCACAATTGGTGATAAGTTTTAATTATTAGAAACAAGGATTAATATGGAATTTATTAATTCGGGCAGCCTGGAAGAAAGATCCAAACACTTGTCGAATGCTGCAACCAAATTTAAAAACGTTCCACACGTTAAAGAGATGAGAAAAAAAACCTCGCCAAAATTTTCCATATAACTCCAATATTGTCTAGTGGTCTAAATGGAGAAAATATTCTACATAAAATTTCACTATAGATGACCGAATAAGAGGACAGCCTGGAAGACGGGCTAATTAACCAAAACATACATGCAAGTGGAACGTTTTTAATTTAAGTTTTCGCTTGCAAACCAAATTCAAACACGTTCCACACGTTGAAGAGACATGAAAGGATACCTTATAAATATGTCCATAAACCTTCAATATTGGTTAGCGGTCTCAATGGAGAAAATTTTCAACATAAAATTTCACTATGGGTCACCGAATACCAAAAATGTTTAGATGCTATAAATAACAGTGAAAATTGCCATTTTATCCTTGCTCTCTGTTATCGTTGCAAGTGGAACGTTTTTAAATTAGATCGGTTTTATTGGTAAGTGATTTACATTGCACGTCTGGAAGGATAATTTATGAGCTTCAAGGAGCTCATCGTGATAATTCACAAGGTAAATAATATTTCCTTTTTAGAAAAATATTTCGACGTTTTATACTGTAAATTTCGTTTCAGATTTGTTGCAGGCAACCATACAATATTTCGCAACAAACCCCTATTCCACAAATCCAAAATGCCTCCGCCCGATGTCACAAAATGCCGTACATGTCTCGGTGAAAATAAAAACCAATCATATTACCATCTTGACACCTATATTGAGCAAGAGAATTCCAATATTTTGGATATTTTAGATACAATCTTGCCACAATTGAAAATTAAAATCGAATCTCAACTATGCCAACAAATCTGTCAGGATTGTTATGATAAGTTAATCGACTGTCATCGTTTCCATCAATTGTGTATAGAATCAAATAACAAATTGCGGGCTGGCGATGTGGTGATTATTCCGGAGACACACTTGGAGCCCACGGAATATGGAACAACTTTTATAATAAAACAAGATTTGGAGGAGGAGGTGCAACAGCAGGAGAATGATAACCACGAAAATGATATGGCCCCGGATGTAATGAATATAAAATTAGATACTGATTGGCAGGCAGCCAGTAATGAAAATTCCACAACTCTGAATCAAGATGTTATCGCGGCGAACACTCAAAGCACACCACCAGCAGCCGCAGCGAGTTCCAGTGCACACGTCTGTACGGTATGCTCCCGCAGCTTTAGTAGTGCAAACAGTTTACGCCGACATGGCAAAATGCATGATCCAACTGCCCCATATCCCTGTGGATTGTGTACCTACAGGTTTGATTTGGAGAAAATGTATCGTCGTCACATGTTGTTGATTCACAGTGAAACATCACATCAATTTCAATGTCCCAAATGTCCAAAAACTTTTTGGGAAAAGTCATCACTTGTGCTGCACTCTAAAAGCCATAATTTAGCAGAGGCGGCCGCCGCCACTGTTACAGAGGATAGTCATGGTGGTAATATTGATATTAAAAAAGAAACTGAAAATGTCTGGACAATGGAAAAAGAGGAAAATACTATAATGGAATCATCTAGTGAAGTCAAGTAAGTTGTAACTATTTCTCTTTAAAATGAAAACAAATTAAATATTCATATTTTCTTTCCCCTCTCAGACCATTTACTAAGAAAAAACGTCGCAAGACCAGGGAACAGAAAATATTCAAATGCAAAGAATGCCAAAAACTATTTGCGAGTAACTATAATTTGGAAAGACATTTCTTGTTGTTGCATGATCCAACTTTCCCATTTGTATGTGGCCATTGTAAATGTCGATTTGATACAAAGGAACGTTATTGTCGTCATATGTTTGCTCAACATAATATACAGGTGAAAGATGTCGAGCCAGAAGCTACTAAACCGGGAACTAAAAAAGATTTAGTATCAAAGAACAACAATCGCAATAGAGAAGAAGATAATCAGGAGGATGAGTAAGTTTGCGGGTTTTTGGGAACATGGACAATAAAAATTAATAATTTACAATTTTTTCACAGTGGTGAGGATGATGATGATGACGAAACATATGTTGATTTTGTTGATACTGGCATTGGAGCAATTGAAAAGTAAGAACAAAAATTTTCGTCAAGATTTGTATAATTTGAAAAAAAAATGATACACAATTTGGAATCGATATTTCCCTGGTATATATAACACCTATTGAATTCTTATATTCGGTGACATCTAGTGAAATTTTATGTAGAATATTTTTTCCATTGACATCAATCCTCGATATTGAATTGCGAGATATGGACTTGAATCTTTTAAGCTTAACAAATAACCCAAAAAGTGTGCATACCCAATTTGAAATTAATTTTTGTAGGGTATATATATAACACCTACAGATTTCATTTCTTCAGAGACCTATAGTGCAATTTTGTGTAGAATATGTTCTCCATTGGGTCCACTTCTCTAAAATTAAATATTCTAAAAATTCATTTTGTACCCAATTTAAAAATAATTTTTGTAGGATATATATAACACCTACAGATTTAATTTGTTCGGAGATTTATAGCGAAATTGAGTGTAGAATATGTTCTCCATTGGGTCGACTTCTCTAAAATGAAGTATTTTAGGAAATTTTGACATAATTCGGAAAATATAGGAAAGTAACCTAAAAATGCATTTTGTACCCAATTTAAAATAATTTTTCTCGGGTATATATAACACCTACAGATTTCATTTGTGAGAAGACCTATAGTGCAATTTTGTATAGAATATGTTCTCCATTGGGTCCACTTCTCTAAAATGAAGTATTCTAGGAAATTTTGACATAATTCGAAAAATGTAGGGAATTAACCTAAAAATGCAATTTGTACCCATATTTTTTATTTTATTTTTGTAGGGTATATATTAGGCCTACAGATATCATTTGTTTGTAGACCTATAGTGAAATTCAGTGTAGAATATGCACTCCTTTGGAACTTGTTCTCTAAAATGAATTATTCTAGGAAATTTTGGCATAATTCGAAAAATGTAGGAAATTAATCTTTAATTCCTTCTTTCAGACCCCTGCGAGCCAATGAAAAAGGTCGTTATCCTTGTGATGTTTGCGGTAAATTTCTCTTTAGTCCATATCGTTTAGAACGACACAAGCCACTGCATTCCATGGAGAGACCATATGCATGCACACTATGTACATATCGATTTTTAACTGAATCACGTCTTAAACATCACATGCTAAAACATACCAATCCGGATAGTCAACCATCACCACCAAGCGAAGGATTTCAATGCCCGAATTGTACAAGATGCTTCGAGAGCCGAACATCCCTATGTGCTCATCGTTGGCAAGCACACAAGCGTAAAAATACCGAATCCGCAGAGGCCGAGAAACGTCACAAATATCTGGGTCAGTATCCGTGTAAAAACTGTCAACGTCAATTCACGACCATAGTAGCCCTAACCCAACACATTGCGAAAGATCATCCCGAAATGGAAAAATTCAAATGTGATCAATGCGATAAAACTTTCGTTTTGAATGCTCTGCTGCAGGAGCATTTGTATCGGCATCGTGGCAGTCAGAATTGTGTCTGCATCATCTGCGATAAGGTCCTGGCCTGTAAATCTTCCCTCGGCGATCATATGCGTACACACAGTGTGGCCGAAAGATTCCGATGCAAGGAATGTGGTAAAAAACTAAGCACGGCAAGCAGTTTCAGACAGCATATGGAACGTCATACCGATGAGAAGAAATACGCCTGCCCCGAATGTCCGTGTCGTTTTAAGTGTCGTGTCGATTTGTATAAACACAGCCGGCGGCACAAAAATCTTCGCAATCATGTTTGTGATATTTGTGGTTTGCGCTATTCCCTAGCGCAGAGTTTAAGGGATCACAAACTGGCCAAACATGACGGTATTAAACGATTTACCTGTGATCGGTGTGATATGAGGTGAGTTTCAAAACAGAAATAAAAACCCGAAACAGATTTTATATTTTTTTTCCTTAGTTTTTCTATCTCAGGCCATTTGCGCCGGCATATTCGCACCCATACCGGCGAGAAACCCTACAAATGTCAATACTGTGACCGGGCCTTTGCCCAGTGTGGTGATCTAAACAAACATTTGCGAACGCATGTGGGTGAGAATATATACAAATGCGACGAGTGTCCCATGGCATTTAAATATAGAGCCGAATTGCGTCAACATGTGGCCGAGGAGCATTTTAAAAAAATACAAATGCAACAGCAGCAGGAAATGCAGCAACAACAACAGCAGCAAGTGGATAATGTTGTAGAGCAACAATTGCCTGCCGAAAATGTTGAACAAAACTTAAGCCACCAAATGTCGAATATTTGGTCGTCTGTTCCGCCCGTACAAAACAACTGGTAAAAAGTATTCAAATTTTAAAAAAGAGAAATCCCAAAAAAAATCGTTTAATAGTAGATTCTTAAAGGTTCTGGAACAGTGTAATATTATTTATTATAAGAAAAAAATGTACAATTATTTTTAAATTTATTAATACAAAAAATAATAAATATAAAAATGGTATATATACTCGTATATAGGGACTGACCTTTTGTTTACTGGTGGAAAATTTTTAAAAATATACCTCGAAAATATATTAATCCCAGGCACATGGACCTTTCTGCTACGGATTTCTGTTCATCATAGGATCGCATCTTCAGCAAATAGTTATATTTTAGGTTAGGTTAGGGCATTATATGGGGTCTATCTGAATAAGTAGGCCGATGTAGATAATTTTTGATAGGTAGATTTGTTACCCAATAAGAAACCAAAAATACCAAATTACAGCTTATTCGCTTGAAAAATTTGCCTAAAATACCGAATAATCGGGAGCATCATTGTATGGAACCTATCTGAAAAAGTAAACCAATATCGATAATTTTTGTTTGGGAGATTTTCTGCCACATGAGTATTCAAAATACCAAATTAGTTGTTGTTGTTGTAGCAGCTAGTACTGCTGTGTATTTCCAATTTGTCTTAATCTGGTTCTGCCTCTAACTCCAAATTCAGAAAGGCTGCGACTTGTACAGGTTGAGTCCAGAGAGAAGATGGGGCATCAATCCGTGCCCAATACGAATTGAGGCGGCTACACCATCCAGATCTCAGCTGTGCCAAGACCACTGATATGCTGCTCTTCTGCGGCTATCTCAGGCGGATGGTCATCGAGGATGGTATTCACACGATATTCTTGAACTGCTTCCTCAACTGCGTCCGTGTGAATACTGTTCAATCCTGCTTGATAGGCCTGTTGATCTAGAGGCTCCCTTTTGTATCTCTGGACCTCTCTCTCCAGATCATGGAGATCCTTCCTTACATGCCTGGGTGGTGGGTGCCTATCCATTAGGTAGCGGTTCGGATGGCTGCTCCTATAACACCCAAGCAAGTATTGCATCGACAACATCTTGTTGTGTTGCAAGTGGTCTATTGGAGTCATGGGGAGACACCCTGTTGCAGTCCTCAGGGCGGCATTTTGGCAGGATTGAAGATTTTTCCACTGCGTTGCACTAACGTTAGCGGACCACACATAGTTTACCACAGACCGGCCTATTGCCTTATAAGTCGTTAACAAGGTTTCCTTGTCACAGCGCTGCCGGCTAGCGACTTGAGAACCTTGTTTCTGCTCCTGACTTTGTCGCAAATAGCTGTGGCATGCGCGGACGACTTGTATAGGCTATCGAATGTGACCTCTAGAACCTTGGGGTAATTAGTGGTCGGAATTGTGGACCCCTCGACCTGCACATTCAAAGATAGCCTCATTTCCGCTGTCCATACCAAATTAGTGGTAATTATTGTTTTTCAAAATTATTCTGCAATTGCTTGTGATATTCCTTTTGCCGATTCTCTTCAAGTCCCAACCGATCCAATGTCAGTCTGTTGTTGATGTTGACTAATTTTCATAATGTTCCATTTGATGTTGACGTAATTCCGAATGATATTTAAATGCCATGGGACATTGCGAACACATATAGGTATTCTCACCGACATGGGTACGCAGATGTTTATTTAAATCACCATTCTGGGCAAAGGCACGATCACAAAATTGGCATTTATAGGGTTTCTCGCCGGTATGGGTTAAATAATTAAATTTAAAATTCGGTGTTATTTCAGAAATTGTTTACCACGTACCCCATGCCACATTGTTCACACACATGTGGCTTCTCTCCCGAATGCTTCATTTTGTGTTTCTTCAAAGTCGACGATTTGGTATAGCACGAATCACAAATGTCACAAACATGAGGCTTGGCACTGCCATGTGACACCAAATGTTTCTTAACATCCGAACGACAATTAAAACGATTTGGACATTGGGGGCAGCGGTATTTCTTTTCACCCAAATGACGTTCCATGTGTTCCTTCAGTTTGGTGGAGGCCTTAAATGCTTTACCACACTGGGGGCATAGATATGGTTTCTCACCGCTATGTATACGCATATGTTCCTTTAGAGAATGTTTGTGGCTGAGTACCTTGTCACAAATGCTGCAAACGCATTTCCTCCTATCGATTGTATGACGTTGTAAATGTTCCAATAAGTGGGTATGTATAACGAATTTTTTATTACATTGATTACACGTATGTGGTTCCCGTTCAGGATGTTTATTTTTAACATGTGCCGTAAGTGACCTTAAGGACATAAAATTATGTTGACATATTGGGCAGGGGTAATTTGTTTCTTTAGTATTTCCAACGGCTTTGGTTATTTGTGCTCGGTGATTGGATAGTCTCAAAGCGTTTTGGTCACCGACCCTAAAAGAAATAGTATATTAAATAACAATTTATGTATAAAATTTATATATAAAATATCCAAGGGAACCTGGATTATATAAAAGAAAAACTTGACTTACACCAATTATATTGTATTCTTTTTTTAATTTGTATCTTTTGACCCCTTATACTTAATTTTAGGGACATATTGTCAATGCGGAATATATTCTCCATAATATTTCATTATGGGTTTACGAACAATAGAAACCTGTAAGTGGTATATATACCAAAGAAATATGCAATCCAAATCGGGTGTGAAAATATTTATAGGTTAAGTTTGTATGTTTTTTTATGTCGAAATCTTCAATATTTTATGAATTTAGTATAGAGATATCAAAGAAGAAATTATTCTACACTTAATTTCAGTATGGGTCACCGAACAACGGAAATCTGTAAATGCTATGTATTCCCACGAATATTTGTAGGTTAAGTTGTTTTTTTTTAATTTGGTCGAAATCTCTAATAAAAAGTCGTTTCAGAGGTTTTATGTTAATGGAAAAATAATTTACACTAAATTTCAGTATGGGTCACCGAACAACAGAAATCTGTAAATGCTATATATAAACACGAAATAGGAAAATTCAAATTGGATATAAAAAATTATTGCTTATTTTCAGACACTTTTCGAATTTTATCGAAATCTTTTGTAATAGGTCATCTTAAAGGTTTGATGTTAATGGAGAAAATAATCTACACTTAATTTCGATGTGGGTCACCGAACAACAGAAAACTGTAAATGCTATATATACCCACGAAATTGGCAAATACAAATTGAATATACAAATATTTGTAGGTTAAGTTTGGAGGGTTTTCAAATTTTCTCGAAATCTCCAATACTACATCAATTTAGTGGAGAGATGTCAAAGGAGAAAATGTTTTATACTAAATTTCAACATTTGTCACCAAACAACAGAAATCTGTAAATGCTATATGTATATGAAATAGAAAATTGGATAAACAATATATTTTTTAAGTTAAGTTTACTTTTTATTTTTTATTTTTTATTTATTTATTTATCCATTCAATAATACATAGGTCAAGGCCAAAAATAGTATTAACAATGTTAATGTCCTAATAACTAATAATAATACATAAATATCAAAAAAATGCTTACTTATATAATTGGCTCCCCAGCCTTAACTATCACACAAATGAAAAATTTGCAAAAATTGACCAGAAGAGCAAACAATGTATACAAAAGAAAGGTAAAAATTGGATTACACGCAAATAAATACGTAGCAAACAAGCCATCCAAACAAAAAATATTTAATGTGTCAGAAAATTCTACAAATACCTCCATTAATGCTAGGTTCATCAAAGCTTTGTGGAAAAGCATTATTCGAGTGAGAAAATGTTTTAACCGGTAAATTTCAACAATCTAGCTACACGTATTAAAAAGGATTTTTCAAATGTGGAGTTGTATATCCTGTAAAAATTTAATTCTAATATATTAAAACAGAACATGTTATTCAATATTGTATCCACAAAATGACTAATCCTCAACCTATATAACATTTGAATGGTTTGAATAGACTTACCCTGATTCATTGCCATCGACAATCAATTCCACGTCTTCACCTGAATTTTCAAAAATTTCTTGCTTTACATTAATATCAAGAGAATTCCGCTGTGGTCCAGAATTTTTCTCTAGACTCAAGTCGAACAAACTGCCATCGCAATTTGCAACACTCCCCTTCATATTATCTTCTCTAGCCTTAGTCGTATCCCTCTGAATACTGTTTTCGGATTTTCGATTCTTTTTCCCAGCCTTCCTAACTTGTTGGTCTTCTCCATCACGTTTTGTGTGTATTTTGACATGCCTGTGCAAATTAAATAATCGCGAAAATAGTTTACCACAAACATTGCAGGTGAGAGATGGATTTAATTTGCTGTCCTTCTTTGGCGACCTATGAAATAAAAAATATATTTTACATCGATTTTAAAATTTTAATTTTTATTTTAATAAATTACCTATCTTCCGCATCAGAACTTTGTCCGCCATTATCCTCCCTCCATTCTATGTCTGATTTGATATTCAATTCTTCAAGAATTATATTATCATTTTCATCATTCCCAATATCTGGTTTTGTGTCCAAACATTCCGTTTCCACCGTTAGGGGATCCACAACCTCAAGCAATCCTTTTTCATTATTTTCTTCTGTCCCATTAGAATTGAAATATGTCAACAGTTGTTTATTCGATTCTATACATAGCTGTTGAAATCTATGACCAATGAGTAATTTATTAACACATTCCTGACAAATTTGTTGTGGGAGTACCAACGTTTCCTGTTGTTTAATTTTTATTTGTGGTACAAAAGCATCCAACATATCCTGAATTTGAATCCCATCATCCTCCTCTTCAATGTAATCGTATAGCTGATAATATTTCGGATTTCCGTTGAGGCATGTGCGACATTTATTTAGTTGGGGAGGGAGCATTTCGCAGTCCGAAATATTTTTGTTTTTGTTGGCCACAGGAACAGGAACTCTAATTTGCAGGATAAAACAGATGATTTGCCCATTAGAGGCCCAAGTGGAAACTATTTGAAAACAATATCCATAATTCACAATAGTGCCGATATCTGATAGCCGATATCCAGCTTGTCTTCTTCTTATACTGCTACTTAGTGGGAACTCAACACCAGCTGTAATTTTTTTGTCGATAAAACAGTTCCATTAATATCGACTTTCTTCCGAATTTCGACCTGGGAATCCCGGGTATCCCCACAATTATATTTGTTTTGATTATGCTTTATCAGTTACGTTTTGAGACCTATTTCGTCTAATTCCGCAACGCCGACGAAATTAAAAGAGAACGCCGGTAATTTTGAAAATGACGGCATTGTAATTAATTCCTTGGTCTTATAAACATTCCAGGATCGAAATTGGCCGGATTTGGTGTTAGCTCTACAAGTCGTTTAATTGCCATGCCTGAGGCAGATCGGAGCAAGTGCCGAACTTGCCTGTGTGAAAATGAAAAGGAAAAATTCTTTCAACTTTGCCACTACATTGAGGAGGAGGAAACTCGTATCATGGACATGTTGGATGATATTGTACCACAAATTAAGATAAAGGAGGAGAAGGAGGCGGAAAAGGAACCGCATAAGTTCCCGCAGTTGGTGTGTCAGGAATGTTACGATAAATTGCTAACCAGCCATCGTTTTCAGCAGTTGTGTATAGAATCCAATAGGCGATTGTTGGCGGTATGCCTTGCAGCTGGAAGAGCTGAGAAAGGGGAGGGGGAAGTGGACCAGGAATTGGAAAATGTTTTAAATGACCCATTGACGGGAGACGGTGATGATTTGAAATTGAAACAAGAAGTTGAAGATAATGAGAATTATGAGTGTGAAATAAATCCCGGGAAATTGGAATTGAGTCTAAAATCGGATAATGAATGGGATGATGTGGAGGAAGGAGATGAGGTTGGTGGTGGAGTCTCGGATGAGGGTGGTGGTAGTGAAGATCGAGATAATAGTGATACAGATTCCAGGTGAGTTAAAATCGGGATTTAAAGTTTTTTTTTATTTAATCGATTTTTTTCCTTCATTTCAGCAATGAAAAACTCTCGGTACTGAAGCAAAGAAAATTAAGAAAATCCAAAAGATCCGCAAAGTAACTTCATATTTGCATATTTTCTTAAGTTGGCTAATTAAAAATATTATTTTTTCCCCTTTAGAACAAGGCGAAAATCTCAAGGTGTTGCAAACGATGAAACCAACGGCACCACCACCTACCCCTGTACTTTGTGCGGAAAAATCTTTAATCGTCCCTATGGCCTGCAAAGACACAGTGCCGTACATGACCTAAATCGCGCCTTTCCCTGTGACATTTGTAAATATAGTTTTGCCAAGGAGAAAACCTATCGCACCCACATGCAATTGAATCATAAGGAAATTTTCGCTGAATCAAAGGGCGAAGAATATCCCTGTCCAGAATGTCCAAAAATATTTTGGAAAAAATTATCACTTACCCAGCATATGGTTAGTCACAATCCAAATGCCAAGAAAAGAGGTCGTCCTAAGGGTAGATTAAATAAAATTAAGGAAGAAGGAGACGCCGATGGTGAAGAGGGGGGCAATGGAGTGGAGAAAGAAATTGAGGCTGAGGGCAAGCTGAGGGAAAAATGTACAACGAATGCGGATGATGATGATGATTATAATGTCAAACATGAAATTGAAATTACACCACAAATATTCGATACACTGGAAGATTGCGATGATGATGAGGCCAATGATGAATGGTTTGATCAGGAGGGGGAATATGATGATACGGAGTAAGTTGGAGGAGGAAAATATAATCAAAAACTTAAATAAATTTGTTTGTAGGGACGATGATGATGACTCCTTGGGAAAAGAAGACCGCAGTAAACCGAAATATAACACAGATTTGGATTTTGTGGACACAGGTATTGGAGAAGTGGAAAAGTATGTTAAGGAATAGAATTTGTTTACTTTACAAATATAAATGAATTTAATGCGCCTTTCAGACCCAACACCCGCAATCGTCGCAATGGTAATTTCCCCTGCAATATTTGTGGTAAACTATTTGATCGTCCATATCGTTTGAAACGTCACATGCCGGTACATTCCATGGAGCGGCCATATGCCTGTAAAATATGTAAATATCGTTTTGTAACACCCAATCTCCTTCGGATCCATATGATACAA